GACCTATCAACACCGGCTTAAATGGAAACTCCAGTGTCTCCTTCCTGAAAAAGCACCCTCTCTCTCGTACGCCTCTTTCTCTTTTACTTCGCTCTTAGTCGCCATTGTTGTACTGACTGTAACCGTAATCATCGATTTCATAGAATGGTTAGCGAAATTCGTGATTAGACTAGCTTCAATAAACTGTTATTGATGATCGGAACCAGTGTTCTTCGCTGGACGATATTCCAAATACCCTAGTACGGAGTGAGATCAACTGCTTCTCAGGCTTCCTAATGTTTAGTTTCCGAATTAGATTAGGAAGATCTAATTGTGGGAATGTAGTTTGATTTTTTGAAGGATTTTTGAGTAAACATGGTTGCTGCTTGCTTTTAGTCTTCGTTGTTCAGATAGCTTGATTAGATCCATTTCTGTAGGGAAGATCTTTGTTGGGAATCAATCTGCGGAGTTTGATTCTAAATCACAAGCTTTCACAGCGTCAGAGAAAGTCTTAGTACCCGATAATCTTGATGATGGTGTTTCATTGGTGACTGGTGAACTACAACGTCCCAGCAGTTTTTCAGAAGAATCACAGGTGGATATATCTTGTCATCTGTGCTCTTTAATCTGTGAGTTATGTATATGCAGAGGCAAATTGTTGGAGGTTGAATCTTTTGTGCATTACAATTTTAACATGAAACCGATTTCTTTTTGTAGAGATTTGAGCAAACAATGGAAGATCAAGCCTCTGCCTCTGATTCGAGTAATGGTTACAGTAATAAAAAAGTTGTCAAGGAGAAAGAGGCGAAACCAAGAATAGTTCCCCCACCTGGTGATGGGAAGAGAATATATGAGATAGACCCCATGTTGCGAAGTTACAGTGACCATCTTGATTACCGGTATAAAAATGTTCTTTCCTACGTGCTTCAAGTTTTTTCGTTTTATTATACCTGCTATAGATTTAATATGTAAATCTTCAAATCTTATTTATTGAAGAACTATACATTTGATGTAGAAGTTTGTAGAAAAGTTAGATGTTGTTGTTACTTTTGATTTCGCTGAAGTAACATGCATTTTTGTTGGCTACAGTTATAAACAGTATAGAAGATTGCGTGAGGAAATAGACAAGTATGAAGGTGGTCTTGAGGCATTCTCTCGTGGCTATGAAAAGTTAGGATTTTTGCGCAGGTAACTGTTTCCTACCACCAATAGCTCTTCAATAACCTATCAAGTTTAGACGGTATGTTATTGAACCAAAGAAGAAACAGTAGTGGGATATCGGATTTTAAATGATTTTTAGCCGAATTTCATTTTTATCACAGCCTCACAGGCTTCTTGATTTTGCAGCTCATGAAATGTTTTGTACATCAGATTGTAATTATTTTTGGCATCTATATATATTTTTGTAGCTGAAAAGTCTGATTGTAGTCAAACTAGTAGTCAAGCAAGTCTATATCATCCACAGATTTAAAGGTTGAACACCAAAACTATAAGCAAGAAGTAGTCCCCTGTGATGTTATTATGTGTTACTAATTTAAGATTATTCTCAGCTTCCCCCATCCCTACCCTTCTCGAATTTCGAATTAAAGTCGAATTTATAAGTTTTGTCCGTTTCTTTAAGCTATTATAGCTTTTGGCATCATGTCAAGGGCCATATAATATTCTGTTCTAATTGTTTTCATTTGCAATTTCAGTGATGCCGGTATAACTTATAGAGAGTGGGCACCTGGAGCTAAGGTTTGCTTCTTTTAGTTTTCCACTAGAATTATATGTTTGGTTCAATAGTTTCTTCATTCACGACTGTTGTAGAGATTTGCGCAGAACAAAAACCTTTGTAGCCATAATCCTTGCATTTGCATTCGTGCCCACAAAGAAAATATTAGTCATAGTCTCATGAAACAAGGGTCAAATATTGTCCTACATTTATACTATAGCTGGTCATGTGAAGAATAGCTTTAAATCTTGCTGCTCGATCTTGGGAAATCTGAAAATTGGTTTAATCATTTGAAACCCGTCTCATGGAGGATTGATTGGTCAATAATACTGAAAAGGAGTAGGTGGTTTAAATTACGTGTTTCTCATGTGATATTATGTGGAATTAGAACTGCACCTAGGAGGTTTAGCATGTTAGTCACATCTCTATGGCAACTTGTACTTCTCCATTGTATGTGGTTCTGTATAATGCTTGTCTAATTTGTAATAACTAATTTGATTGTTTTTTCTAAAATTATGTCCTCGCCTGTTACAGGCTGCATCTCTAATCGGAGATTTTAACAACTGGAATCCTAACGCAGATATCATGACTCGAGTATGGCATATTGACTTTAGGCTCCGTATGCTTGGTAAATTCATATTAAATATAGTGAATGTGAACCGATGATTATCCACTAAATCTTTTACAGAATGAGTTTGGTGTTTGGGAGATCTTTTTGCCCAACAACACTGATGGTTCACCTGCAATTCCCCATGGCTCACGTGTAAAGGTAACTAAGAGCCAGTACATATTGTGATTATGTAATGACGATAGAGTAATTTCTGATACACAAAACTCCAGATTCGTATGGATACACCATCTGGCATTAAAGATTCAATTCCTGCTTGGATCAAGTTCTCGGTGCAAGCTCCTGGTGAAATCCCATTCAATGGCATATACTATGATCCTCCAGAAGAGGTAAGCTTCTGCAGTTATTATCTTGTGGAAAACGATAGAGCTAGTGCTAGTCTGAAGTTTTTGAAGTTTCAGATTTATAGATAAGTCTGTACTGTAGATGCAAAAGTCATGGATTGCTTCTCTTGGACGATCCCAAACACATATGTCTATTGTTTAACCAACAATTTCGGCCATCTATTATTCTTTATGATATTAATAAGAAATGAACATGTTTCAACCCATTTAATGTGTCCTTAAAGTTTATCGTTGTTGTTTCTATATATATCAATAGGTAATTTTAGTTGTCCCTATACCTTTATTTGATGGACTAATGGTTCTGAATTTATTGTCAGGAGAAGTATGTATTCAAACATC